GGGGGGATGACGGCGGGAGAGACAGAGCAGGGAGATTGTAGCCGGAACCCGCATGTCACCAGACTTCAATCTAAACCTGTCCCCTGCTGGGGGGGGTGTGTGTGTGTGTGCGTGCGTGCGTGCGTGCGTTCTCACGGCTATCACTTTTCTTCTATTTGTTACAATAAAATACAACACAGGGGCGCCTGGCTGGCTCAGTCAGAAGAACACGCAAATCTTGACCTTGAGTCGTGAGTTCGAGCCCCACATGGGGTGTAGAGATTAAATAAACTTAAAAAAATACTTTAAACCATCATAAGCATTTTTACGCATACACTTCAGCAGATCGGGCGCACTCACACTGTCGTGCGCCCACCCTCCATCCGCCTCCAGAACCTTCCATCTCCCCAGACTGAGACCCTGCCCCCACGAAGCACGGACTCCCCACCCCTGGCTCCCACCGTCCGCTCTCTGTCCCTGTGGACGGGACTCCTCCGGGGACCCCCTGTGAGTGGGGTCGCGCGGGACGCGTCCTTCTGTGTCCGGCTCCGGTCACCGCGCACAGCGACCTCCGGGCCCGTCCACGCGGTGGCAGGCAGCGGGACGTCCTTCCTCCCCGAGGTTGGGTCATCCTCTGGGGGTGAATGGACACCCCGTGTTTGTCTGTTACATGCCAGCAGACAGTGTGTCCACCTTTCACGGACGCTGCCGCTGTGAAACCGGGGGGCAAGCGTCCGTCTGCGCCCCGGTTTCCGGTTACCCGCACAGACATCCGGGAGTGGAACAGCCGGGTCACAGGGTGACTCTAGGTTTACGCCTTTTGAGGGGCCTCCAGACTGTTTCCGCGGAGGCCACGAGGGCCCCGATGTCTTCGCTTCCTAATTGTTACTTTCCTTTGGTTTTTCTGGGTTTTGGTTTTTTTAATACTAGGTGCCCTGGTGGGTACGAAGTGATAGCTTATGGTTTTGTCACCTGTTTTTGTCAATAAAGTTTTATCGGCACACAGCCCCACCCATAGCTTACGAATAGGCCGTGTCTGCTTTTCCGGGAACCGCGGCAGTGTGAGCGGTGGTGACGGAGCCCGTCTGGCTCCAAACGGGCAGTCGGCCGCCCCTGGCCTTAGCGGTCTGAGAAGCTACATAGAGACCCAGCCATGAGATTGTTCCCAAAAGCGCTCCCTGTCACCAGGAAGACGCTGGAGGCAGCGCACAGGACCGACCACGTCAGCGTCAAGGACTAAGGGGCATCCACAGACGGAACCAACCGGAACAAAATTCTCCCCAGGGGGCAGGGGGGTGCAGGGCCACCAGCTGGGGGGCACAGCCAGGAAGCACATGGCCTCGGACACGGCAGATGGGAGGCAGGTCTGTTCTGTCCTTTATGCTCTTCTGGAACCTTCTTTTTGTCCCTTTTCCCTCCCTCCCTTCCTCTCTCTCTTGTGAACCTGTGCCGTCTTTATCATTATAATAGAGAAAAAATAAACTGCTTTTACAGAGATGTTTTAACTGTTCGGGGTAATCTTTAAAGTTACCCACCGTGATTCACCCCCAGCGCTTCTGGAAGCAAGAGAATTGTGCTCGGCTGAGCAAGAAGGACAGTCTGGAAGCTCGGGAGAGCCAGCGGCCAGGCCTCACCTGTGGCCTCTGGCTGCCGGCTGCCTGCGGCCCCCACCCTGGGCATCCACCGCGTTTATTTAAAGTGCTTGAGAAATTCTGAGGCTCAAAAAAGGGAAAGCTAGAGGTGGCGGTTACCATTCTTGCAACGTCTTACTTCCTCCAAAACTCGTGTCGACTCCAAAGGATGAAAACGGGGACTCGCGCGCGGCAACGTGGCCGGGCCTCAACACGCGACGCTCAGGGAGGGAACCCGACACGAGAGGCCACGCGGGGTGGGAGTCCGCGTGGGTGAAACGTCCAGAACGGACCCATCCGCGGACGGGAAGGGGGCTCGTGGGGGCCGGGGGAGGGGGTGACGGCCGATGGGGACGGGGCTGCTCTTTGGGGCGATGAGAAGGTAGAATGAGGCAGTGGTGAGGGGCACACGCCCCCCGCGAATGCCCGCAAAGTGCTCAACAGCACACTGTAAACGGGTGAATCGTACGGTGTGCGAATCACATCTCAATGAAAAGTCTGCGAAAGTGAAAATGGGGTGGGGGTCCCCAGAGCCCACCCCTCACTTCAGAGGCAATTCTGGAGATCAGGGGCTCCGGAGGTGCTGTCCCTGGGGGTCTCTATACCTTCTTCCTGAACTCTGTGTACTTCCAAGACATCAGGCTGGTCCGTCCCACCCCACAGTGTGAAAGATCTAGAAAGTCTTACTTGAGCAGGGCCAGGAAGGCGGCGGGCTCCACGTCGGGCAGCTCGATCTCGGTGGACGTGGTGGCCATCCCCCCGTTGAACATGGCGTCGAAGACAGCACTGCCCACGGCCAGCACGAACCTGGCGTGTCAGAGAAGACCGAGGTTACCCTCCACGTGGCCCTGACTGCTCCTGTCACTGACCCCGGGGGCTGTCGGCGGGGGGGGGGGGGGGGGGGGGCGGCGGTCCCCCTAGGAGATGCTGCGGGAGCGACCCCGGCCCAGCAGGTCCTGCTGGCAGATGGCTCTAGAAGGCCGCACTCTGGAGCAAGGCTGCTCAGAGGTTCAGTGGTAACACTGGGCGGGACGAGTGAGGTCACCGGCCCCACGGCAGGATGGCCTCATGCCCCCGCAGCCCCGTCCGTGCGTCCGTCCACCCCCCCCCCCCGCTCTGCACGCACATCCCGCGCTCAGGTCGTGGGCACGAGGGTCCCGGCCATCCTCAAGTGGGGCAGACACAGTAAGTGCAGGGACAGCCTGACTGTGGGGCAGGAAGAACCCAAGGCCGCGACAGGAGCGAGGGTCAGGGAAGGCTTGGCAGGGGCACCTGAGCGGGGCCGAATCCCCGGGGCAGCCTCGGGAGGCGGTGGCCGCGAGGAGGCCTGCAGGCTCTGTCGCGTGCGGTGTGGCCACTCGGGGCCCCCCAAGCCAGCCGGGGCCCCTCCGGCTGGACCACGACGTGGGGGGGCCTCTGCGGTGGCCGAGCTCAGGGAGGCGCCGCCCGCCCTGTGCTTTGTGCTGTCCACGCGCAGCCTCCGGGGCCCACCCCACGTGGCCCAGGCACCGTCCCCGGGACACCCACCCACTCCCGGGTCCACGTGGGGACAAACACAGGGCTCTGAGCGGCCACCCCGGCTCAGAGCCCTCCGGGTCGGCACGCATCTGCAGGCAGGGCGCAGTCAGCCCCCACGTCCTGCTCCCCGGCCTCTGCCTGCCCCAAGCTGAGCAGCCCCCCACCCTTGAGGGGCAGAGCACCCCTTCCCCGGCCCCTCCCTCCCCCTCCCTCGGCGTCTCTGGCCCTTGTTTGGGCCACAGTGCGGCACGGCGGCTGGATCCCATCCGAGGACCAGACCCGAGACGGACGGGAACCCGAGTGCAGTGGGGCGAACAGCGTCCCCCCAAAAATCCCGTCCGCCCGGAAAGGCAGAACGGGACCTCACTTGGGAACAGTCCTTGTAGAATGTGACTGGTTCGGGCGAGGGCATGGAGGGTGGCCCTAATTCCATGCTGGTGTCTCTGCAAGAGGGGAATTTGGACACGGACACGGGGAAAGGACACGTGAGGACAGAGGCAGAGACTGGAGGGGACGCCTGGACCCCAGGAGCTGGAGGAGGCAGGGGGGGCCCTCCAGGGCCCCCGGAGGGAGCGCAGCCCTGCTGACACCGTGACCTCGGACGCCTAGCCCCGGAGCTGGGGCAGGAGACCCCGTGTGGCTCTCGCACCCCCCGAGCTGTAGGTTCCGGCCGCACCGGGCGGCTCCTGTCCCTGCCGTGGCCAGCCTCACCCACGTCTTCGGAGGCCCTGGGCTCTCACGCCACCGCAGCAGGTCCCCAGGCCCCGCTGTCCTCCCGCACACGGTCCCTAGATAAGGTGCCTTCCCAGAAGCACCTCAATCTCCTGCTGGAAAACGGATCCAAACACAGAAGAGGCTGCTGACTGTACCCGGCGCGTCAGGGCCCAGCCACCTGACGCGGGGTGGACGGGCACGGACCTCACGCACCCCGGGCGTCCCCGCCAGCGGGCAAGGAGTCTGAGATGCGGATGTGGGCATCAAGCCACAGAAATGAACACGGGGCTCCGATCGAGGACGGCCCAGCAGCGAGGGGACACCCAGGGCCCGGAGCTTGGTGTCCAAATCCCACACCCACAGAGGGTCCAGGCTCCTTGGAGAAACAGCGGATTCCGGGGCGGCGGGGGGGGGGGGGGGGGACCCGACGGGCTCGGAGTATCTCGCGGGGCCAGAAGGAAAGAGCTGCTCCAAACGTGCTAGGGAAACGCGGACACGGCGCCCACCCGGCGAGCTCGCGGCCGAGCTGGGGACAGAGCAACAGCCGGGGGTCCGTGGGGACTGAACCGAGTGAGCGGGTGAGGGGCCGCGGGAGGGACAAGGGGTGCCAGCCCCCCCCCCCATCAGGACTCCAGCCAATGAAGCGCAGAAAACGGCCACAAGGCGGACACGGAGTAGCCACCGTTTCCGGGGCGGATCCTCAGCCCTCCGCCCGGCAGCCAGCGGGCAAAGCGGAGGAGACACAGGGGGTCTGCCCAGCCCCACAGCGTCCCGCGGGGACAGCGCTCACGGCCACCGGGGAGGGCGCACATCACTGCTCTATATCCACACACGCGGCAGGGGCAGGGACGGGAGCCGGAGCGGAGGCCACGGCCGCACACGGAGCCGCGTGCACATCGCACCCCACGGCCGTCGAGGAGGCTAGAACGTTGCTAGAAGGTGCACCCTGCGGACGTCTGGAGCCCAGTACGCCCGGGATCGGTAACAGTTACAAACACACACACACACACACACACACACACACGCCCGGCACCAGAGTCCCTAAATACACGACGCAGAAGCTGAGTGGCACCGGGAGAACGAGGCCACTGGACAACCACGCTGGAGCTTCCGGAACGTTCCGGATGCCGGCAGAGTGGCGGGCAGACCAGACGTCCGCACACAGCCCAGGCCCCGGAGCCCGGCCGCCCCCGGCCGCCAGCAGGAACCAACCGACCTTCCAGGGACCCTGCCTGCACACGTGGGATGTCCTTCGGGGCCAACAGGTGCGCCGGGCAGCGCCGGCGTCGGCCAGAGCGTGGTCTCCAAACACAGCCGAGTTCGATTACCAAGCTGCAACCAGAGGAAGTCTGAGAGATCCCCAAATGCTTGCAAATGAACCCACTTGGGAGCAGCCACGGGTCCGAGAAGGAACACGAGGAAGCGAGGAAAGATCTTGGCTGCAAAGGAGACCACAGTGCGACAGGCCGACCTGAGGGTCGCAGCTCGAAGGACACGTCGCACATCTATTAAGGGCCCAGGAATCCGCGAGGCGAGCTTCCGCATCAGGAGTCCAGAAAATGGAGAGTAAACCAAACCCACGGAGAGAAGGGAACAGCCAAGGTGGGAACAGGACCTCGTGAAATCGGGCATGGGGATGCCAGGGGGTGCAGAGAAACCACTGGAAACGGGAGGGCCACGAGGTACCGAAATCAGGAGCAAGGGTGGGAACATCGTTCAGGAACGTAAGGAACACGATCTCACCCCACGGCAAAGCCTGTCCCCAGATGGCTTCACGGGGGACCCCTCCCAATCACGCCGGAAGTGACAGCGACCGCAGGCAGACTCTCCGAGAAAACGGAGACGCCCCCGAGCACCGCTGGGCACAGATGCCGCGGCCGCGTCGGAAAACAGTCCGGCACTTTCTGAAAATGTCACCTGAGTTACCCTAGAATCCCAACAGTCCGCTCCGAGGTGCTGACCCAAGACCACGGGACCAGATTTGCACACCAGCGTTCACACAGCGTGATTCGTAACAGTGAAAAAACCAGACAGAGCCCATACACCCACCGGCTGGCAAAGGGACAGACAGAGGTCCGTTCGTACCACTGAATTCAGCAATCGCGTGAATTACTTGCCAATAAAAAGAAGAGAGCTGTAGTTGGCCTTGAACAACACGGGCTCGAGAGTGCAGGGGCCGCTCACACGCAATTAACGAAGGATACCGTAGATGATACAGACAGCGGGCTAAATACGGGGAGGCCTGGCGTTCCGGGTGGGGGCGGGGGGGACCTCGGGGGTGGCGGCCGCCAGGGCACAAGGCTTGCACATCTGCACAGACAGCCATCGGGTCAAACAGACCAGACTCCAGTAACACCCCGCACCCACACCTCAGGACACCTCTCAGGCAGGGAACAGAGAGGAACTTCAGCGAAGCTGTCCCGCTGAGCGCAAAGGTGGCTTGCTTCCACCCCCGTCAGGGGGGCGATGCCCCGTGGCCAGAAATGCACTAAGAAAAGCATTAAGCGGCATAAACAGGAGGGACGGAGAGAAATAATCTGCCCACGACATGGTTTTCGAATTTGAAAATTCTAGGACTGCACTGCCCAATGTGGTTGCTCCTGGCCATGCAGGGCTATTTAAATTTTTTTTCTTTTTTACATATTACTTATTTTTGAAAGAGATGGAGAAAGAGAGAGAGAGCACGCACGGGCGCGCACAGGTTGGGGAGGGGCAGAGGGAGAGGGAGACACAGAATCCGAAGCAGGGTCCAGGCTCTGAGCCGTCAGCACAGAGCCCGATGCGGGGCCTGAACCCACAAACCGTGAGATCATGACCCGAGCCAAAGTGGGACGCTTCACCGATTGAGCCACCCAGGGGCCCCCACACAGGGCTATTTAAATCGAAATTAAAATCAGATTAAAGATTCGGGGCGCCTGGGTGGCTCAGTGGGTTGAGCGCCCAACTCTCGGTTTCGCCTCAGGTCACGATCTCACGGTTTGTGAGTTCAGGCCCCGCATCGGGCTCCGTGCTGACGTTGCACAGCCTGCCTGGGATTCTTTCTCCCTCTCTCTCGGCCTCTCCGCTGCTCACTGTGTAGGTCTCTCTCTCTCTCAAAGATAAACAAACCTAAAAAAAATTGTTTAAAGATTATTCACAACAGAGGAAAAAAATACAGGAGCAAAAATCAGCAATAAATGTGCAAGAAAACTATATGAAGAAAGCTACAAAGCTATCCTAAGAACACAAACGCCCTAAACAAATCGAGAAAGACCGTGCCCCCAGATACTCTGTGTGCTAACCTGCCTGTTCTCCCCAGCCTAGGTATCGGTGGGGGACCAACCCCCACCGCCCCCCAATAAATCCCTTGAGCACTTACTTGACAAACAGACTCTAAAGGTCATAGGGACCACGGGATGCCTGGGGGCCGGCAAACTGGCCAACCGCGTGCTTTTGCAAATAAAGTTTTATTGGAACGCGTCCATGATCATTCACTCGCGTTGTCTACAGCACTTCCGTGCTGCTAGGACAGGATTCAGGAAGTGGGACAGACTGTGCGGCCTGAAGAGATCGTCCGCTGTCTGGCCATTTACCTGTGCTTGCTGACGCTGTGCTAGAGCGGCCGTCC